GAAATCCTGTAATCACATGGGTTGGCTCCAAGATGTCTATTTAAGCAGAAATCAAAACCTAAAATTTCAAGAACTGGAAAAGTACTGTGGGAAGTCAGCCCCACCAGAGAAGGAAATATTAAAAGGGCAGAATATATTTCCCTAAAGGATTTTAAAAGCAGAAACCAACCCTGCCCCCAAGTCTCTCTGTGCCAAGCAGAAACCAAGTCTGCAGAAATGCAGATAATCTTGTCAGAAAGACGAGTCAGGAAGCTGGGATTAGGAAGAAAAATCTCTAGAGTCAACACCAAAAATCTAAGAGTCATCAGCCCCACCCCCAGGGAAGCAGATATGACCCTTGGGACATAATAGGATTAACCCACCACCATCAGAATACCAGAAAGGCACACCCAGACTCAGGTCAAAATATGTGACACAGGAAATACAAAGCTTGAAACAGGAACAGGAAACTACTCCAAACAAAAGGCTCCAGAGGGTATAAAAACCCACTCCCTACATGTGCTAACTCTCTTTCTTCCAGAGCCTTCTTCCTGTCTGGCTCTCCTCTTCAATAAACTGCAACCTTCTTCCTAAAGCAGTCACCATGTTGTTTATCCCTGGCTTGGATGAATCATGATGAAGACTTTTCCTTCAACAGTACCATACAGTATTAAGAATAGAAGCAAAAGCAGTGATATTGCTGAATTGGAATATGGTCCTAAGCATTTGCAGTATACTGCAAATAAGAAAATTCGATTGGATTTAAGTAATTTGAAGAAGTTGAGGCAAGGAGACCTGAAGAATAAAAAAATCAGAATTAGCTTGACAACAAGGTGTGACCTGGAAAACAAGGAAACTACAGTTGTGGTTGAATTTTCTCTATTTCAGAGAAAATAAAGTGATATGATAACAGTTTTTGCAAAGTTCACAATTTTGAGTGAACCAGCAGATGTGAACATCTTCCATTCTACTCACTTTTACAGCACTTTCAACCTGCTTGATCCACTTTGTATTCCCATTGTGCTTCTTGTTTTCCCACGAGTTCTGAAATTTTGGAAGGATTTTAGAACTTGTGGGACGACAAGAAGCACTGAAATGTCAGCAGAATAGAAGATGTTCATATAACAAAAGAAATGGTGCAAAAACAAGCACAGAAGCTCAAGAACTGGAGGGCCCCTGGTTTAGATGAGCTGCATGGATTCTGGTTGAAATTATTAACAGGTTTGCATGCAAGATTAGTAAACCAGAGGAATCAAGTTCTGGAAATACCAGAAAGTGAAAAATGGCTAACAACTGGAAGAACTTTTTTGATTCAGAAGGATGCAGAAAAGGGAAATAAAACTGAAAATTACAAGCCAATCACTTGCCTGCCAACAACATATAAATTACAAGCATTATTGCAAACCAAATTTATGAATATTTGGAAAACAAGGATTTGCTGCCTGTAGAATAGAAAGGGTGCTGCAAAAATTCAAGAGGGATCAAAGATCAACTGATGATTGATAAACTGGTTTTGAACAATTCAAAGAAAAGACAAACAAATTTGTTCATGGCATGGATTGATTATAAGAAAGCATTTGGTTCTGTTCCACACAGCTGGATTGAAAAATGCTTAGACATTTTGGGAATTAGCAGCAACATCCAGAAATTCCAGACATGAAGTCTATGGCAAACTAAGCTGATGGCCTGTGGAGAAGAAGTTGGTGAAATTGAAATCAAACAAGGAATCTTCCAAGGTGACTCATTGTCATCTCTGTTATTTGTACTTTTGATGGTGCCACTAACAAAACAAATTGTGGCTATGAATTGGCTAAAAAAGAGTTAAAAATTTTCCATTTGCTCTACATGGATGATTTGAAACTGTTCGGAAAAACAAAAGCTAAATTGAACTCACTGCTGAAAAGCACTGAGGAGTTTAGCAGAGATATTAAAATGCAATTTGTCATTAACAAATGTGCAACAATTGTTGTTAAGACAGGAAAAATGGATTCACTTGATAATGAAGAGCTGATAAAAGCAGTAACACCAGAAGAAGGGTATAAGTACTTGGAAGTTTTGGAAGCTTCTGACCAGTTGCACAACCAAATAAAGGAAGCTACTTCAGCAAAATACATAAAGCGAGTCCAGAAAATCTTGAGATCAAACCTGACTGGAGGAAATATCATAAAGGCAATTAACACCTGGGCAGTGCCTGTAATACGATACTCAGCTGGAATAATTGATTGGACTCAGCTAGAACGATAACTTGGATTGAAAGACAAGAAAACTAATGACAATACACCATGCTCTGCACTCAAAAAGTGATATTGATCAATTGTACTTGTCAAGATTTCAGGGTGGCTGAAGTCTCTTAACAGGTGAAACAAACTGGAAGAGGAAAAACGTGGCTTAAACGACTACATAAAAAAGCAAAAGAGCCTCTGTTGAAGGAGGTGAACTAGGGAAACCTCTTGAAAACAAGATTGAAAGCAAAATATCAAAAGGAAACAATTGAGCCTATGCATAGTCAAAACCTGAAGGACATTGAAGGAAAGTTAGATACAAAGCTAACATGGAGACGGTTGAGATCAGGGGTGCTGGAAAAAGAAATTGAAGACTTCATTTTGGCTGCTCAAGAAGAAGCCTTGCAGACCAATTCCATGAAAATAAATATACCGTATACTCAGATAAAACCTTAACAGCTCTTGATCCTTGGCTAGGACTTGAACTATTAAGTTTTTACATTCCAGACTGTGAATTGAAGATTAATAATAATAATAATAATGATGATGATGATGATGATGATGATGATGATGATGTCCTGGGCTCATATAATCTTCTGACAAGCAAAGTCCATGGGGAAGCAAGAGTCACTTAACAACTATGTTACTGACTTAACAGTTGCAGTGATTCACTTAACAACTGTGGCAAGAAAGGTGATGAAATGGGGCAAAACCCGCTTAACAACTGTCTTGCTTAGCAATGGAAATGTTGGGCTCAATTTGTTGTTGTAAGTCGAAGATTACCTGTATACCAATCCAGTGGCCTGTCCATCTCAGTGTCATGCCTCTAATATTCAAGAAGTTATTCACTGAGGAAGAGCCACCAAGGTCTATGCAGTCTGAAAATGCAATCAAGACATACCGAGTAGAAACCTATATGTTTCTAAGAGCTGCTTAACTCATCCATTGCATCAGTCTTCACAAAAAAAGAAATTATAGCACAACATACCAAAAAAATTCTGCAAAAGACAAACTAGAAATAAAAATTAAAATAAGCAAGAAAATGGTAAGAGAACACCTATATGACCTTGACGAATATAAATCATTTAGAATAGAATAGAGCTGGAAGGGATCTTGGAGGTCTTCTAGTCCAGCCCCCTGCTCAAGCAGGAGAACCTATACCATTTCAGACAAGTAACTGTCCAGTCTCTTCTTAAAAATCTCCAGTGATGGAGCACCCATGATTTCTGGGGGCAAGCTATTCCACTGGTTAATTGTCCTCACTATCAGGAAGTTTCTCCTTAATTCCAGGTTGCTTCTCTCTTTGGTCAGTTTCCAACCATTGTTTCTTGTCCTGCCCTCTGGTGCTTTGGTGAATAACGTGACCTCTCTTCTTGGTGGCAGCCCCTCAAATACTGGAATACTGCTATCATGTCTCCCCTATTTCTCCAAATTTCTGCCAAACTCTCAACATCTTTTTGTGATATGATGACCAAAATTGGCTGCAGTATTCCAGGTGTGGTCTTACAACCCAAGATTGTATTAGCCAAAAAAACTAGTACAATCTTGGGTTGCATAAACAGAGGTATAGAATCAAGATCACATGAAGTATTAGTACCGCTATATAAAACCCTAGTGACACCATACCTGGAATTCAAGAGAAAGTTTCTAACAGTGAGGACAATTAGCCAGTGGAACAGCTTTCTTTCAGAAATCGTAGGTGCTCCATCACTGGAGTTTTTAAGAAGAGGCTGGACAGTCACTTGTCTGAGATGGTATAGGTTCTCCTGCTTGAGTGGGGGGCTGGACTAGAAGACCTCCAAGGTCCCTTCCAGATTCTATTCCATTCCATTCTATTCCATTCCACGTTTCAGATTGTGCATCATAGCCATCTTCTAATCCATTCCTATGTAGGCAATTGTCTTTATCTAAGGGATGCCTTCTTATAAAATCTTTGCTTTTCTCTTGGTGTAATATGTATGTGGCCTTATTTTTTATGAAAGCAGTGCAGGTTACCAACATAGTGTTAGGACCTTTACCATCTTTTTGGAGGGATTTGTGTACATTCCTCATTTCTGTCTCACTCTTCCAGTCTGTCCTCGAGAGAAAAGCTTGTTCTATGAGAACCAGGAACTCATTGCATCAGGTACTCATGCTGATTTATGCAGGATAGGGCTGTGGTTGTGATCCTGTGTTCTTTTTTATTAGTAGTAAAGGCACATGAGTTTTATCAGAAAAAAATACCAGTAATATAATACTGTACTAAGCATGACAGGACAAGCAGGAAATATTTAGCTGTTTCTCCTTTTACAAAAGCAAGACATTGTAGGATATGTGTCTGTGGAATTTTAATTCTCAAGGCAAATTTGAAATAGAATTAATCTTTTGCCAACAAAGCACTTGGTTGACATAGCTATGATGACTCAGGTGCTGATTAGGTTTGCTATAATTGATTTAGTCTAGGTTCAGATGAAACACAATCATGTCCTGCTTGCTCTAGAGATGATACAGCAGAGAGAGCAAAGAGTTGGGTGGGGGGAACTGAGCTGATGTCAGTCTATGTGGTGATGTCATTGCAATGAGAAATAGATTTGGCTGGCACTAGGCTTTGCTTATTTAGTGGAGGTTGAATTAGGCAGAGACCAGGGACAATAGAAAAGCTGGTATCTCTCCCTCTCTCTCTCTCTCTCTCTCTCTCTCTCTCTCTCTCTCTCTCTCTCCCTCCTCCCTCCCTCCTCTCTCTCTGAAGGAGCATCCTGATCAGTTAGGAGTTAGAAAGCTCTTTTATTTTCTTGACTCTGGGGCTACATAAGCTCTTGATTTATGTCAGGAAGGAGATGCCAGCCCATGACATGGACTGTGATGTCTCTTCTCTAGTTGCCTGTGTAGTGGATATAGAGGTATTTACCAACCAAGATGTTAAGGTATGTGCATGCCTTTCATTCTGCAGAGATGCTTCTGACAAGGACACTTGCAGGATAACAAGAATGTTTAATGTCCTGCAAAAAAAGCAGATCAGATTGTCATGATTATTACCATAACAACCAGAATATTGGGAGTTTAGTATGAAAAGATTAGGGACTATTTCTACATCTTGTTTTTAAAATGGATTTGTGATCTAGTAAATCTAAGAGTTACATCACAAATGAAACCCTAATTAAATAGTAAATTCTCTTTAGTTTTTTGCAGTCTGATGCCTTAAACAAAACAACCTACAGTATCTTTTTAAAGCAAATTAAGGAATAAATTGTAAATGCATGTGGATGCATGCTCTCTGAGTATAATTGTTCTGTAGTGAAGCTGTGTTGACCTTCAGGTGTTTGTATATGAATGTATTATTGAACTGAAAAAAATATCTGTGACTTTGCACTGCATAGCCAATAATGTGATTCACCCGAGTTAAAGGATTATTTCAGCCAAAGTTGGACAGTTTTACTTTTTTGTATAAAAATTGGAAAACTTGAGCTGCATTTCTCTTATTTCCTCTTGATCTCCTTTTGTGTACATCAATGATAGTGATTTTTTTCCTTTTTGTTGCCAAACATCTTAAAAATTAAGAAGAATGTTGTGAAAAACTATTGGTGTACCTAGTCAGAAAAGCTTTCCTTTAAATTGTATTTGTAAAGAGCACAGTGTATTGCATCTGCCTATCTCACTACTGCATTATAAGAGAAAGGGAAGCCCTGAAACAGCAGGCAAAAATCATTGTTGCAAATTGTTTTATTTTCTGGAAATTATATTGTGTCAGTGGCAGAGAGTGGATGAAATATATTATCGTTTTTTTTTGTTTGTGTGTTTGTTTGTTTAAAAAAAACAACTTAAATTCTGAATACAGTAACAGCTGGTATTTCATATTCACATTGTGCAACTAATATACTTTTTAATAGATTTATTCTTTTATAGGTCCATGTGATAAGATGAAACTCTCATGTTCTGCTGAATTTCTTTCTCTGCATTGGGGCTGGAGGAGTGTGTATGAGAGAGAGAGAGAAGGGGGGGGGTTATGAATGCAGTGTCTTCTGTTTGTTGCAAACAGTGTCTTCTGTTTGTTGCAGTGTCTTCTGTTTGTTGATGTAATCTGTATAATGTAAAGATGAGGATGTAATCAAATACTAGAATCAATCAATATTTAACTATAATACTTATTTTCCTTCTAAGACAAACCTAGAATCTAAAGCCATGGTCAAAGTCACTGCAATATATAATGATAATCCGAATATAGCCAGGCTGGGATAAAGCAAGGGGTTGATCACCAGATTCAGTCTTCTGGAAGTTTTCAATGAAAAGCTTCCCCTGATGGCAGGGGGTACTCAACGTTTTGTTACATATGTGGAAAAAGTCTCCTTTTCTTAAACACTTGTTTTCACATAAAAAAAAAAAAGGCCTTCATTCGGGTTTCTTTCAAAACAAGCCACCAAGGAGAAGGAATGCACAGCTATACGTTACACATATAAATGAAGCTCTTGAGACAGAAAAAAAGAAAGAGTTGGAAAATGTTGGGCATATTTGTTAGTAGCTTATAGTCAGGAGCAGATCCTGTAAATCCATTCCAAAGTGTAGGTTCAGGGACAAATGTTGCAGAACTCACCCAAGGAAAAGAGAGAACTGCAGCAGTGCTTTCCAAGGACAACCATTTGAGGTGTCCACGTGGACTAGGTCAGCTTGGCAAAAATGTCAGTAGACCTTGGGAATGGGGAAGAAAAGGGAGAGAGGGAATTTAGTCTCCATTGCCAGGAAGCTATCAAATTCTCCAAAGGAATCCCCTCTACTTTTCATCTAGAGTGCTAATGGTACTTTTGGGCCTATGCAGTGTTTTTTTTCCCCCTCCACTGATTGCTTTTCCCTTTTGACCTCCTTTGTTCCTCTGATTTGTGAAATGATCAAGGTAAGATATAGCTTCTAGGAGCAGCAGTGGTGACTGCTTTGGCTGCTTGCTCATTTTCCTGAGCAGGTAGAGCAAAGGGCAACAGCAGGGAGGCAGCAGCTGCCATTGATCACAGGTGCATTTGGGAGGACATTTGTTAGGAAAGGAAGGAGAAGCTATCATCAGTAGTATTTTACATAGTCAAGTGATGGGCATGTTGCTGAATACACACACACACACACCCAAATTGGCAAAATCTTGAACAAATGCAACAGACGATCTCTCTGTCTCTCTCTTTTTTTTAAAAAAAAAAATCATTTTTCACAAGTTATAACCAACAGGTAAACTGTTCCTAGATATTGACAATGAGGCTACACTGCTTCTTTTTTATAATTTCAATTTTCTTTGCTAGCAGCAGAACTCTATCATCTATCTTCTATCATCTATCATCTATTCATCTGTCCATGTCCATCCATCCATCCAGTGGAGGAGTGATGGAGAGAGAGGGGGGAAATGATAATATTAGTAGGAAATTATATTTAATTTAATATATATAATCTGTTTTGTTTCTCCCATCACCAAGGAAATCTAAAACAGGTTAAAGAAAAAAAACTCAGTTCTCATAGAAGCTACTATAACAATAATAAATGATTCATTAGCCATATCATATTTATAATAAAATATATTCCTAACATAATTTATAAATGTTACTAAATTCAATGGAATTGTGCTGTTACTTCTATAGACAAATGTACAAAATATTTGTCTACCAGTTACAAGTAAAAAAATAACTTGTACATGTTTTCAGAACACTGACATAAAATACGTCAAAGCAAATGAAAGAACTCCAATGCATTTGAACTGAATGCCAGCACCCTCTAGAAGAAGAATTATATTGCCCTCAGGGCTTAGTTGTGGACTTCCTGGAACATTTAGATGAAATAGGCCTATTGTCTGATCCAGCAGGATTCCTCAGTTGTGCTCACATTGAATATAATGGCAAAAATCATAAGAAACTATACGATCATGAAACTATGAGCAACTGACGTAAGAGCAAATT